AAAAATGAAATACCTAGGAATCAATCTAACAAAGAAAATGAGACTTAGACATTGAAAATTACAGTACTCTGGAGGCCTGGCCCTAGCTCAGCTCTTTAAGAGGCTGCTTCTGCAAAGCTTTCAGCCTCAGATTGCTGTAGTTCGATCCCCACAACACTCCAGCCAGCCAAACCTGCCCTAAGGGCATTCTGAGCAAAAAAAAAAAAAAAATCCTTATGGGGCCGGGGAGATGGCTCAGTAGAATAAGTGCTTGCCTGGCAAGCTCAAGAACCCAAGTTCAATCCCCGGTTCCGTAAAAAAAATAAAATAAAATAAAATAAATTGGATAGGATTAATAACTTGGTTAATTATAAAAAAGAAAAGAAAAGAAAATTACAGTACTCTGAAAAAGGAGATTAAAGAGGATATCAAAAGATGGAAAGATTTCCTTGCGCTTGGATAGGAAGAACCAATATAGTGAAAATGGCCATACTTCCAAACTGTTGGACAGATTTAATGTAATCCAAATAAAATTCTAACAGCATACCTCTCAGACTTGGAGGAAAAAAAGATCCAAGGATCAGTGGAACAAACTAGAAGATACAGAAACAGCTTCAAGCGCACTAAGCCAATCTATGCTTGACAAAGGGGCCAAAGCCATTCACAAAAAGACAGCCTTTTTAATAAATAGTGCTGGAAAACATGGCTTTCAACCTGCCAAGTACTAAAATTAGACTCATGTTTATCACTGTGCACTAAAGTCAAAATGGATCAAAAATTTAATATAAAAACAGAAATACTAAAAACAACAACAACAAAAAACTAAATGTGCTGGAAGGAAGAATAGGTAGAACTCTTAAAGTCATAGGTATAGGCAAAGACTTTATGAACAAAACTCAGGGAACAAGGGAAACATTACCAAAGATCAGCAACTAGGATCTCATCTTATTTTTATGTATGTGTGTGTGTGTGTGTGTGTGTGTGTGTGTGTGTGGCCAGCTCAGCCCACCAGGGAGCGGGGCTGGCTGGCATGTGGTGCTGGGGGATTGAACCGCGGTCTCTTTGCTTTGCTTTGCTAAGCTTGTTCTAAGTAGGTGCTTTAGACCACTGAGCCATCTCACCAGCCCAGGATCTCATCTTATAAAAACCTTTTACACAGCAAAAGAATCACCAACAGAATAAAGAGACAACAACACACAGAGTAGGAAAAAAAAAATTGCCAGCTGTTCCTCACAGGACTAATATAAAGAATTGAAAAAAAAAAAAAAAAAAACCAGATTCCCTGTCATGGTTTGTGTCTAGGTGTCCCCCAAAGCCTCATGTAGTCACTGGGACAGGTTGCTAGAGTTTGTGATTAACTCAGGGTCTAATGCTGGGATTATGGGTGCAAGTGCTACACTGGGGCTGGGGCTGACAGCCTGAATGCAATATAAGGGAGGAAGGGAGGGA